AGAGGGGCGGGAGGGGTGCCAGGGAGACGGCGGGTCCCTCCACGGCAATGGGACCCCGGGGTCTCCGTCCCTGGGGGGGCCAAGGTTCCAGCGGGCCCCAAAATGCACTGAGAGGGGAATGGGGGGCTCTGGGGGGGCACCCAGGGGGGTACGGAGGGAGGTGGGGGAGGGGGGCACCCAGAGAGGGGTGGGTGCACCCAAAGGGGCACACAGGGGGAAGTCAAAGTGGTCTGGGGGTACCCAAAGGGGCACAGAGGGACACGGGGGGTACCCAAAGGAGTGGGGGGGCACTCAAAGAGGGCTAGGGGTACCCAGAGGGGAACAGCAGATTTTGGGGGAGCACCCTAAGGGGGGTGGGGGGCAGCCAGGAGGGAGAGAGGGGGCACCCAGAGGGGTCTGGGGGTACCCAAGGGGCACAGAGGGGCATGGGGGACACCCAAAGGGGTGTGGAGGTACCCAGATGGGCACTTGGGGGGCACCCAAAGGGGTCTGGGGTACACAAAGGTGTACATGGAGGGCACCCAAAGGGATCTGGGGGTACCCAAAGGGGCACACAGGCACATGGGGGGGGCACCCAAAGAGGTGGGGGGGGACCCAAATGGGCATGGGGGGCACCCAAAGTCTTCTGGGGGTACCCAAAGGGGTCTGGGGGTACCCAAGGGAGCACAGAGGGACATGGGGGGCACCCAAAAGTGTGAGGGGGCACCCAAAGGGGCACGCAGGGACGTGAGGGGAACCCAAAGGGGTCTGGGGGCACCGAAAGGCGCACACGGGGGCACCCCAAGGCGACCCCCCGAGGGGACAGAGCCCTCCGAAGGATTCGGGGCACAGAGGGCAGCTTCCGGGGGGTGGCGGCGCCGCGGAGTGGGAGAATCCCCACGGAAAACCGTTGCCGCTGAATCTTCCCTGTCTTTATTTCACCAGGACGGGGAAAAAATGCGGCCCCGGAGCCCTAATTTGGGGCGAAATCCCCCCAAAAATCCTCTCTCGCCCACGTCCCCACCGCGACGGGACAGCGCGACGCAACCCCTGCCCCTCCAAGCAGTGCTCAGCTGAAAAATAGGAAAATTCCTTTGAAAAGTAGGAAAATTTCATCAAAAATAGGAAAACTCCTTCAAAAAATAGGAAAAAATTCTTCAAAAAATAGGAAAATTCCTTTGAAAAACAAGAAAATTGCTTTGAAAAACAGGAAAAAATTTTAAAAAAAGAAAATTCCTTCAAAAAATAAGAAAATTCCTTCAAAAATAGAAAGATTTCTTCAAACTGTCATCTGCAGACCAATCTCTGTTGCAGGGTGCAGCACCAGCCTTACCCGCTCCTGTTTTTCTCTAGGCAGAGTCAGACAACCCAGCATGGAAAACCGTGGTCGAATGACAGCAAGTTGTCTCGATCCACCTGCACCCTCACTTAAGGGGTAACAGCCCCCCCCCCACAAGCCCACACCCAAAATACAACAGCTGAGCACATATCCACCTTTTTGTAAAGACAGGAGGGCTGTGTGGACATCTCTTTCTGGACCCACATGCAATCCTGTGCTTGCCTAGTAGCATGAAGGGCTTGGATGTGTGCACGTTTCCTGCTCTGATAGAGACAGCAGTTCTGGTCATCCTTTCATCTGTATTTGGGCTGAGAAACCTTCTAGGAAGGTCAGCTTTCCCATGCTCATCCACAGTCCAGCAAAGAGCAAAAGGATATTCCATTTGAATACGAGTCTCCTTTGTCTTTTCGTGACACAGTTGGGTCTGATGGGTTAGAGTTCTCCACTTTCTCCCCAGTTTGGTCCTGGCTGGAGAACAGGAGAAAATATTCTTGGAGGAGACATAGGAGAGGGCACAAACAAACACAGCCAGGGGGTTCCCCTTTGGAGAAAAACAGGGCAAGAAAATGCAGAGGGCAAAGGCCAGGTCAGTTCCCTTGAGACCATAGAATCTTAGAATCATAGAACAGTTTGGGTTGGAAGGGACCTTCACAGGTCGTCTAGTCCAACCCCCCTGCAACGGGCAGGGACATCTTCAACTAGCTCAGGTTTCTCAGAGATCCATCACACCTGAGCTTGAATGTTTCCAGGGATGGGTCCCTGGAGGAGGACGTGGATCGGGGAGAGAGCCTAGAAGAGCTGTCAGGAGGAAGTCTTTGCTGAAACTGTTTGAGGACCACAAGCAAATTCAAGTGGTGGAGAATGGGGAAATCCTGCATCCCTGGGCCTGTGGGGGTCCCCAAGGAGCTGCTGTGTCCCTGCCCCATGGTGTGTCCCCAGCACGTGTCCCCATGTTAGATATTAGGAAGAAATTCTTCACCATGAGGGTGGTGAAACCTCCCTGGCACAGGTTGCCCAGAGAAGCTGTGGCTGCCCCCTCCCTGGCAGTGTTCAAGGCCAGGTTGGATGGAGCTCTGAGCAAGCTGGTCTGGTGGAAGATGTCCCTGTTCATGGCAGGGAGGTTGGAACCAGCTGGTCTTTAAGTTCCTTTCCAACCCAAACCATTCTATGATTTTATGATTTTATTCTATGTCACAGTAGCTCTCTGAGAGGTGCCATGACCTGCAGGTGTGTCACAATGGCCGGGCTCTACATCTGCTTCCTGGGACTGGGGCTGCCCCAGTTTCTCACAGCTTCTGCCAGAGACAGCAGTGTGTTCCTCTGGAAGATTGTGCTGCCATGAGGGGTATGAGAGTGCTCCGAGGTGAAGGGCTGGTGAGAAGTTGGGGACCGATGCCTGCTGGAAGCAGTGTCCACTGGCCGGGTGATGGGGGCCACTCCCTGTCACCTCTCATCCTGCCACCAGGCACCTCCGAGAGGGCTCGGGCTCCATCCTCTCCCTGCGCTACGTGGGGCAGTTGGGGACCGCTCGGAAACAGCCTGGCCCGGACGGCTCTTGTTGGGGATGCCCAGCCCCAGCCCCCCTGGCCTCTCCTGGCAGATCCGTCCCCTGCCCACGCTGGAAACACTCCAGCATGTTGCTGCCATTCCGGCACTGGGGAGCCCATAATGGGCCCAGTCACCCCGGGTGGTCTTCCCAGTGCCACAGTAAGGGGAAGACTCCCTCCCCTCATCCCACTGACTGCTCTTTCGCCGGTACAGCACAGCATGGGCTGGGAGTGCTGGGGGAGGTGTGGAGGATCCTCACCCCTCCCTGGTGCAAAGCCCCGCAGACAGCAAAATTGTTTCTTTCTTTTCTTTCAGCTCTCTGTCCATGCCTGGGTTCCCGGTCCAGACGTGCGCGTTCTGAGGACAGAGGCAGGGCAACGGGGACTGTCCCTGCAGCCCTCACTACCTTTGCGGCTGTCGGGACTTCTCTGCTAAAGCGGCTGCAAGACCATGAGGTGGGACACAGGCAGGCTGAGGGCTCTCCTCTATGCCCCTAGATTCTCCTGGTGCCACGCCAAAGGGGTATCTCTCTCGCCTGACGGCACCTCTGCCGTCCTGCAGGCACTTTGTCCCCAAGCGCTCGTCCTGCTGCTCAAGCTGGACTAAAGCTTCTTCTCCCTGCTCCTTTACCAGGAGCTTGCAGTGCTCTCCTAGGCAAGGAAGAGCCTCTGGCATAAATCTCAGCAACTCTCCAGCACCTTTTCCCAAGTGCCCAAGTCCCTCCATAGCTTTAGTTTGGGAACTGTCCAAGCATCAGGGCTCCTGCCTGTGCGAGGAGCTGCACTGTGCCCCAAGGTGCAGAGGCCTCGTGGCTTCCGCTCCTCAGGGCACCTTCTCATTCCCATGCTCTCTCCTTTCTCACAGTCCATTTGGATCTCTCAAATTTACAGGACCACATACTCTGTGATTGAAACTTTATTTCATGAGCTCATTAAGAAGTTCAGTAAACAAACACAACAAACAGGGGCTCAGTCCTCTTTTTCCCAGACTAGTCTATGACGTGAAATCACTTATTGACCAGTCACGAGGTTTCATGACCTATAATCCATAGCTCTTAATATTGTGGACCTATGAGCAAAAAAATTATTAGTTATCTAGGTGACGGTGAGAGGGCTCATCCTTCCTCCTCCGTCACGCTGCAGGCGTCCCCTTTATCACACCAGGAATCAGGAAGGCCTCAGCAGTTCAGCTGCTGTTGGATCGGCTCCAAAAGCTTTTTGAGTAATCTGATGTTTTACACCCTCCAGCTCGGAGGCTTGGTCTATACCATTTCCATAAGTTAGTGGGTTCTGAGGAAACCACCGCACAAAAGGTAATGGTTGCTGGAGACAGCAAGCGGTAGGTGATAATGGCTGCATCGTGGCGTTTTAGCTCTTTCTGGCCACCTGCCCTGACCACGTGGTGCTCTCACTTTGATCTAATGGTGCTGCTCCCAGCGAACATCAGGTCTTAGCATCAGCTGGGTTAGCCAAAATCTAGGCAGGACTTGAGGCCCTTCCTCGCCTGGCACTTTCCTTCCGTCCTCCATGGTCCCCTGTCCTCAAGAGTGACCTCCTAGGCTCCTGCATGTCCTCTTACCCTGGTGGAGTCAATCTCATTGTCCGGCGCTCTGCTAGTGTCCGAGGCACTGCGGGAGGTCTTGCTGTTACCATGGCTGTCCTGACTGATCCCTACAGCTCGTGCCTCACGCCGTGTCACACAGATGATTTCAGGGGCAGCAGTCCTCTCTTGTGTCTCCCTGGGAATGAGGGCAAAGCAAGTCCCTTCAGTCCCCTGTGTGGTCTGTCCCCAGGGCAACCGAGTGGAGACATACCGGGAGCTGGAGAACATCTTGCAGGGAGATGGCGGCTGTTTGATGAGCGGTGTCGTGAACCGCCTGATAGCCGAGGCATTCAGTGACATGCGAGCAGCCCAGGTGAGCTTGTTCTCTTTCAGGGCCACCGAAGCAGCCTGCCTCCACGCCTGGTTTTTGGTGAAAAAAGAGTGGCGCAGAGATGTTCCTCAGTTATTCAGACCCAGCAGAGGTCCTAAGGGAGGGGCTCTGGGGACTCATCGTTACAGGGAAATTGGGGAGGGGACACAGAGAGCTGTGCAGAGAAGCGGTCTCAGGACTGTTTCTAACTTAGTGAGAGCTTGGCTTGAGCTCAAGGTTTTCTCCAGTCGTGAAGAAGAGCCATGGGAACCCATCAGCCCCATGGAGAGGTCCCAAGGAGGTCTCGAGTCTGTGACAGTTTGCTCCTGTCATCTCTATGGAGAGAGAGGGGGGCCAGCAGCACAGGGCTGTGCCAGGAAAAGCCTCCCTCATCTCACCAGGGAGCTGCTTGTCTACCCCAGGGTACAAGAGGTGGCAGCTGCCCAGCCCCAAGCACAACTGCTCCAAGGAGGTCTTGCAGAGGAGTCTGGGCCATTCAGCCTGTCTGAGTGCCTCAGCCTTTTTCTCAGGAGTCTTTAACCTGTGGCACTTTTTCAGGGTGTGACACGTGACACGAAGATGGCTGCTAGCGATTTCCTGGTGGCTCTGGCCCGCTCCCACTTCCACGTTGTCATGTCCGAGCTCCAGAGCCACCTGAAGGCCATGGTGAAAGACCCTGATGAGATGGTGCTCCTCACCTTGGGCAAAATGGCCCACAGCTACGGTACGGCACCCTCGGCCTCCTGGTTTGGTTAGGGGTCTGTGATAGCAGGGAGAAGGGATCCTCCCCATTGCTAAACGCCCTGTGTTGAATGGGGGGACTATGGAGTGGCCGTGCCTCCTTGCTCCGTGCCAGAGCTGGCTGGCAGCTCTGCCTTACCAGCCCGATCCCAGTTCCTGAAGAGTGGGAACCCACGGGAGACAAACCTGCGGGGACTTTGCCCCCCACCATCCTCGCTATTTCCCCAAAGGCCTTCTGTGTGTCTCCCTTGGGGAAGGCAGCCCTCCCCATGCCCTCTGGCATGTCCTGCACAGCCCAAGTTCCCCAGTCTTGCCAAAGATCGACCCCAGTCTCCCATGTCTCTCACTGACCCTCTCGGTCCATCTCTGCAGCCTCGCGGTGCATCCCCTTCATGGGAATGACGCTGCTCGCCCTGCGCGCCATGATGGGCCAGGTGGGGAGCGGCCGGATCCTGCACGCCGTCTGCAGTGGTGAGTGTCAACTCCTTGGCCAGGGTCCCAGGGGCAGGTGGCCTTCAATGCCTCCGTGGGATCTCAGAGGGAACACGGTGGGTGTCAGCCCACAGCGAGGTCAGGTCTTGGTGATCCCAAATGGCTGTGAGTTTGTAGAAGGAGCAGGGGAAGCCTGGGAGGTTTCTGTGGTCAGGATGTGGCAGCGCTGCACAGAGGAACTCCCGGGTCCCTTACCACGGTTTCTATTCCTCTGCTTTCCTCTGGGATTAAAATCCCTGCTCTGAAAGGGCAAGTATGTGGCAAGGGAAGGAAGGTTGCAGTGAGAAATGCTGGAGGGGAAGGGGCCATTGAGGAGGAGAAGATGCAGTGGAGAGGAGGAGAGAAACAGTGGGGTGTTTGAATCCAGACACCTCAAGAGCACAGGTTGCCCTCAGACCCACATCTGGTCCTTGGCTGAGCCCTGCTGAGCCTGGGGCTGCGCTTGAAGCAGGTTTGGGCGAGGCTGCAAGGTGCCGTCCCTGCTGCAGACTCTCACGTGCTCCTGTTTCCCTGCTCCTGGTGCAGTTCTGGAGCAGTGGTCAAAAGGAGTCAATACCCACTTCAGCAACCACGAGCAACGCCCCTTCCCTCGCGAGCGGCTGGAACAGTTCTGCGAAGCCATTTATCCGGTCTTCCGCTACGCAACTGTGAACTGGCTGGACGGCAAGGAGGAAGAGGTGAGCAGGGCTGCTTTCCACGCATGGGGGCTGCAGCGGGGATGTCGATGTCCGTGGGTCCGTCTGTGCCCGGTGGGGTGCGAGCAGAGGGGTGAGGGGAGGGAGTGGTCTAGGGGAGAAAGCATCCCAAGCCGGGAGTCTGCCAGCAGCCTGAGGCTGGGGGCTCCCCGGTGGGAAGCAGCTGAGTCCTGGGGCCTTTCTTCAGGGAGGGCTGGGGTACCAGCGTGGGGAAATGTTCTCTCTTCTCTTGAGCGAGCCCTTCTCCTGCAGGTCAGAAGGGAAGGGAAACTCCTCCCAGTGGGAAGGCAGTGCTGGTGTCTAGGGGATGCTGAGCGCTCAGCAGACCTTCAGCCCTCACAGCAGAGCTTCTCCCTTCCCTCTTCAGGACAAGCAAGCCGTTCTTGGGGCAGTGGCTGCCATGATGGAGATGCTTCTGCATGAGGACCAGCACCGAGAGTATGCCTGGGAGCAGCTCCTCTTGCTCCTGCACCTGTATCAGGAGGTCCAAGACACCTCCAAGGTCACTGAGGTGAGGTTTTGTGCAGGGCCTAGTGTGGCTGCTGCTGTGGGTCTGTGAAAGGGCCACGAGGTGCTGGGGAGCTGTGGGGTGCCAGGAGGAGCTGGGAAGCCCTTAGAGAAAGAACAGGGAGAGCAGAGGGAGGCCTGAGGCTTCCTGGGCTCTTTGAACAAGAAAAGAGAAACCTGGGGGCTGGGGCAGGAGGGAGGCAAGAGTCCCTGGGGCTCATCTTCTCCAGAAGGGAGGCACTGCCATCTCTCTGGGGCTCTGTGTGTGGGAAGAGCTTTGCCCTTATGCCTGGGGCCGTGTCCAGTTCCGTCCAGGGAGGGACAAGGTCTGACGAGTGGGAAGGTCTGGGAAACTGAGTTGTCAACACTGGGCTCTGTTCAGAGGAAAGAGACCCTCCCGATGCTGCTCTGAAGGGGGGCAAACAAGAAGCCCTGTGCAGGAGGGTTTGGGGTTTTCCTTGGGAGCTGCTGTTAGGGACTGCCCTTATCCCACGCGTGCCGGGCTTCTCCTTTCCCAAGTGCCTTTAGGTGGCTTTAGCCTCCTCTTCCTCCCCCATTCTCTTGTAGAGCCTCAGCTATGTCCTGGAGATGCTGGAGAGAGTTCAAACCCCGCTCGCACAGGGCACGGCTCTGGCCATCAGCACAGCTGTGCACCACCAGGTAAGAGGAGACTGCGCTCTGCTGCTGGCCTGGGGCCCGCACACGTGATTGCGGTGGAGGGGAAAGACCTGCTGGTGGGCAGGGCAGGGCAGGCTGACCACCACCAGGACCTTCCTGCGGGCCAGGAGCACGCCAGGTTTGGGATCCAGGTGACACCTTAAGGCCGCAGGAAGCCAGATCCTGGCTGTTTGGAACTGTCCTGCCCAAGGGACAGCCTGGTTCCCACAACGATCTCCTTCTTCGGCCAAGCCGCAGGAGGACTCTGGAGGGCCAGCACCCTCAGGGCAGCCTTTCGACGCTGCTCAGCCTCAGGTCCTGGGCAGCCTGCGCTGCTGAAAACCACGGTGGGTAGGGGTGGGTTTTGGCTGTGGGTCCCGTGCCCGGAGTGCCCAGGAAGAGGAAAGCAGAGAGCACCATTTCTTTTGAGTCCCTCTCGACATTGATGCAACTTTCTCTAAAATGGACCTTGTTTCCACAGCTCTCTGATGTGTCTAAAAAACCTGGCCCAGCCCATGAGGCAGTGCTGTCTCGCTGCATCGTGCTGCAGGGTAAGGAGAGGAGACTGGGCGATGCCCTGCCATGCCGTGGCAACTCTCCCCCTGCCCCCTGGGGTCAGGGGCAGCTGCCTGCTACCGCAGAATGTGATTTCTTCCCCACAGCACAAGTCTACCCCGAGGAGACAGTTGTGTTCCTGCAGTCGCAGCTGAGCAGTGGATACGAGGCCGGTCGTGTGGCAGCCCTGGGCCTGCTGAGAGCACTGCTCCACTCTGACGGTCAGTGCCATGGACCAGACACACAAGGCAGGGGTTGGGGCTGCTGGGCTGAGGGCAGGGATGGGCAGAAAGGGGTGCACCTGCACCCTAAAGGAGCTGCAAAGTGTGGGTCCCCCAGCCGAGCTGACAACCCATGACAGGGCTTGAGATCTCCCCCGGCAGTTAGAAATGGTGGCAAAGCAGGGATGGTACTTCAAGCTCAGGAACACGGACAGGCTTGGGGGCGGTGGGGCGGGTGGGCTGGTTTGCACAGGAGCTGCTGGTACCCACGCTGTTTCTCTGTTCTCTGATAGCTTTCCGTCCCTATAAAATAGCCGTGCCTCTAGAAACAGAGATGCTCCAGCTATGCAATGCCTCCTCTGAAAACAGCCAGGCTCTGCTTTTGTGTCCCACTGGTGTGCGAAAAACTTGGAAGCTTCAAAGGATCCCTTCCGCCACCGAGGCTCTGCCTCAACGCACACCTCTCCATATCTCTTCCAGCACCTGCAATGAGAGAGATGCTGCCCCGGGTAGTGGAGGCCGTGTGGTCGGCGTGCCGTGACCCCAGCGCCCAGGTGAGCTGCTTTGGGAAGGGGCAGGGGGTGATGGCTCCTCCCTCGTGGCAGAGGGTGATGGCTCCTCCCTGGGGAAAGCTGGCAGGGTGGAGCAGCGAGGTCATTGCGCTCTGTGGGGAAAATGACCGTCCAGCCTACTGCTAAAGCCCAGCTCTGATGCCAGGAGCAAAAGTTCTGCTGTGCCCTCGTCACCTCTCTGCGACCCACAAAGGCAGCCCCCATCCTTTGGATTTTGAACAGCAAGGTCGTAACCATACTCTCCCCTGGCAGGTGCGGAGGGCAGTTCTGGAGGTCAGCAGGGAGACGCTCAGCTCTGGGTCCCAGAGCCG